CGAATCGAACAGAGCGAATATATAAGTATGAGCCGCGGCATGACTCAAAGTAAAATTCATTATTTATAGAAGCGGATATTATTAGATGACGAAATTGCTCCGTTTTGTTCATCATGAATCGTGGTAGATGCTGCGATTCAAGTGACATACATTGCACATACATACGTGCATATATATATATTTCTTTTTTCCCCTCTCGAGGATTGATTATTCGAACACGGGAGACCAACGAGAGACCACTGATGCTAATACGAGAGAAGCGGTGAGAAAGAGAGAAAGATACATTTATATTTTGCATAGAACACACCGATCTCGTATAGACACGAGAGTCAGTTCTGTAGTCAGGCTTTACTGGGGCACGCGAATTCGCCGATCGAAAAGTGCCGAAGTTGCACGATATTCGCCGACCGCTCGTCGCGCCACGAGCGCCGCGCGTGGTGTGTGTGTGTGTGAGTGAGAGAGAGAGAGAGAGAGAGAGAAAGGAGTGAGTGAAGAGAGAACGTGTGGAGCGCGTGCACCAGCTAACAGGGCGATCTATGTGCCGTGCACTCGATGGGTCGCGATAGACGCGAAACGACCGTGGTCGGCGGCAATTTGACGACCGTCGACGCGGTTTCGAGAAGGAAAGGCAAGTTTCCTCCGCCGAAGGATAAGGGAAAAACACTAATGTCAGGGTACATTAATAACACCTATATCTAAAGCCTTTTCTACAATATGCTTCCTGTTCCTTATTCTCCGTCTTTTTCTGGTTTAAGACTTAAGGTTTAAGTCAGAAAGAGAGAAAGAAACAGGAAGTAAAGAACACATTGTAGATGAAGCTTAATGCTCTGGGCATTCTTATTGTTCTGCTCTTGTGTGTATGTGTGAAATACGAACATTTAAACTTTCAATGTGAAATACATATTCATGCATTGAATGTATATCTATTCTGTGTTGAAAGTTTAAATATTTGTATTTAGAGTCACTTTTATCAAACTCTAGTTAAACTAATCGTTTCAGTAACCTTGCAGGATTCCAACTAAAGCCGTTGGAGAAAAGATAAATGAGGAGTAATAGATGTGGATTAGTAACATTAGTTAAACATAAAATTGCACGTCCTAACAAAATTTTTTATCATATTGAGACGTTGGGACGTACATTTTCATGATTAGCTGTAACATTATCAATGCACATTTATTTACTTCTCACTTTTCATTTTTTCTACAATAACAGCTTCAGTTGGAATTCTGCAATTATTAAAACAGTTTAATCGGAGCTTGGTAAAAGTAGCCACCCTTAGCGTGACTTTCACCAAATTTTAATTAATCTAACAAACGATAAAATGTCAATCATGACTTGTCAATTCTGCTTACGACAAATACGATCGGTAAATTTCAGTGAAATAATTGGTCGGTTAAGATAACCGAGAATAGTGAAAATCACCCTGAAAGAATGAAACAATAAGAATGTCAGGTATTAATGTTATTAGTGTCCAGGCATTCGCATTTTTACCTTATGCGATGAAGAGATACAAATGAACGGACAGAGCCAAGGGAACAAAGCTCGAGGACGGCATAACGCGCACGTCAGCCTCGTCGCCGCGGTCCCCGAGACAGAGGGCTTTTTCAGGACGATTCTCCTCGGCGCTCTCGGGGATATTAGCGCTGGCATACGCGGTCTCGACGGCTCGCGGCGGAAACGGCCGAGCCGAGCCGAACGCTTGCCGCGCCACGAAAGAACGCCCTCCGACAAGCGACGAGGAGAGCTAGCCAGCTAGACGCGAAATCCGTAAAGCGAAGTCTCTCACGACGCACGGCCCCGATCAAAGAATCACGTTTCGCCGAGCGCGACGCGGTACGTCCCCACGTACGCGCAGGTTACATTACTTGTCTCTCTGTCTCTCTCTTCATCGCGACCCCGAGCACGAATAATATAACCTGCTTGACGCGTGTGCACGCGCGCGCGCGCACACGCACTCACGCACGCACGCCCGCACGCATACACACATTATATACATACACAGACAGACGATCATCACGCACGCACGACGAACAACACGGCGCGCGCGACATTACTACGTAATCCTACGTGTCCCCTGAAGTCGCGACAGGCCTCGTCCCGTGACACCGAGCTTTTTGGCAGACTTATTGACACAACATGCGACGCTCGAGGAGAGCGAGAGGGCACGCGCACGACGGCGACAAAGCGACGGCGGCGGCGGCGGAGTAGAACGCCCGACCACGACGACACACACGGAATACAGCGGCCGAGAACAGGAATCTAATGCTCGCGTTTGACTGGTACGCCAGCGGCACTGGCCCGATTACTTCTCCGCGATCAAAGATTCTCGAGAATCGCGATTCTTTTTCGCTCTTCTTTTCGTCTCTTTCTCTCTGTCCTTGCGTTACTTCGCCTAGTTGGACAAACATGTGAAAGCGCAACTACGGAGCAATTGCGTTTCCGCTTCTCTCTCTCTATCTATCTATATCTCTGTCTCTCTATATCTCTCGCTCTCTCTTTCTCTCTCTCTCTCGTCGTCGCCGCTGCTGCTGCTCGTCGTGCTTTAGCCGTGGAGAGCCGGGTAACGCCTCTCCTTCGATCTCTCGCGTCATGCCGAGAGTCCTTGTGCCGCGCTGCCTATGTACCGTACGATCGCCCGTACGCCCGAGGAAGTGTTTAATCGCCATCCGCACGGACCAACTACACGCGGCCTGGTAGGTGTAATGATGTGCCTGAATTTTCTTTCGTTCCTCTCGGCCTCACTCGCTCTCTCTCTCTCTCTCTCTCTCTCTCTCTCTCTCTCTCTCTCTCTCTC